ATGATGTTGAGAAACTATTCCAAATTAGTGGTAGAAGAGGACATCCTCCTTCTCTTTTTCTAAAAATTGAGGTTAGTGAAAATCACATAAATGACAGTGAAAATTACAAATCTCATAAGTGAATTCATAGTTTGAAAGATAATCAAAGATGGGAAAGAACACATCTCCAACAATTATTGCAAACGACTTGGATGAGGTAAATTTATTTTGCATGATAATGATGTTTCATATTTGTATAAGTTTTGCTTTCAAAGTTGTAGCGATGAAATGAGAAGAATGACAAGGACCTTTTTGATGGTGGAGGAATGATGTTGAGAAACTATTTACAACTTTATTATTCCTAAATTATAAAGCAATAAAAATACAATCCTAAGCAATCTGAGTAAAGTTATATATAATTTAGACAAAAAAGATCGAGCATGGAGGATGTCATGATGGATGAGGTCGAGAAGAGTACCTATACCCCCCCCCCAATAAGGGGTATGTATTGCCCACTTAAACACATGTAAAATAGATCCGATAATATGGGTTATGTCAAAATTGTCATCCCTCTTTCATGAGATTTTCGTAATGGCTTATGTAAGAATTTTTCATACACATTACCTAAAATACCATCTTTTACATGAAACTTTAGTAACTTCTTTAATTATAAGAGTTATATGGTAGCAAAATACCATCTTCTCCTTCTCGAACTCCTCCCGAGCCCGCTTCAGCTTGTCTGCAGAGTCAGACGCCAGCTGCTTCTTCTCCCGCTCCTTTTCGTCCAACAGACGCTTCCGCTCTGCTTCGAACTCTGCCCGCAACTCCTCCCGGACGCGCTCCCTCACGGTATCCATCTGATCCGCTAGCTTGCTCTGCAGAACGCCGAGCTCCACTAACGCGTCATTGGCTTTGGATGTGGCCAACTCTGTGCGTACCTCAGCGCCAGCAAGCTTCCCCTCCAGTTGCTCAATCCGAGACTCCTCGGACCTCAACTTTGCGCGCTCACGGCCCCGCTCCTGTTGAGCGCGGAAAGTTGTCAGCAAGCCCTACATACACAACGCACTAACACTTAGGAAATACTGCCATCAAAAAGTCGCTATCAACAGAAAAATAGCAATGCATACTTTACAAAAAGCCTTACCGCGAAATGGATTTGAGCCAGGTCCATGAGCGGATCAGACTTTTCCATGCGAGTCGGGATACCCAAAATAGGTCCCAGCGCTCGCAGGGCAACATTCACGGACGCAACGTTACACGCGGCGCCCGTATGAAACCGCACGTCGCGGAAATAGTCGATGGCTCCCCCGGCCATCTGCGGCAGCTGTTGCTGGACCCCGGCCCCAGACGAACTGCCGGAAGCGCCCCTCTCGGGACGAGCAGTGCTAGCCACTCGCGGCGTAGGTTCCGCAATCATCAGGGTTGCACGCGGTATCGCCTGCGCCGTCTCCGCAACTGGTTCAGCAATGCGCACCGCCTTCGGCGCCCTCCCAGAAGTTAGCGGCTGCTCCGCCCCCTTCCTTTTCCCACTCCTCTTCCCAGCGGCCTGCTCACCTTCCCTCGTCTTCTTCCTCCCAATGCGAGGAGCCTTCACGACATCATCGACTGACATCATGCTGGCCAAGCTGGAAAAATCAACACCTGCGCCAATAAATAGTAAGAGGGCGGTTAATAAGAAAGAATACAAAACGGAAGAAGTACAACTAACCATCGGCAAATAGTTCGGCCAAACAGGCCTCGTGGACCCCAGCCGCGTATAGGTTGAACTTCTGCGGCATGCACGCCTCATACTCCTGATCGAGCCCGGCGTACCAGCCCAGCTCCGACTCGTATGCATGCGTGCCGCCCTTCTTCCAAACAGTCGGCTCTTCAACAAATTCACTCGCCCATTCCCCGGGAGTGGGCTTCACGTAAAAGAAGCGCTCGAACCAGGTCTTCTTCAGCTTAGGCGAGCCGTACACAAAGCCGTCAGGCCTGTTGTCACGGCGCTTGATCGAAAGGCAGTCACTTGTCTTGGTGGTCTCCTTGATCTTGTAGAACTTCCTGAACAGCCCATAAGTGGGCTCGATCTTGAGCCTCTTGCACGCAACTCGGAGACAGCTCGCGTGCATAATGATGGAAGGAGAGAGCCGCCCGATTGAGCACTTGAGCTGCCTATACAACACGCACAACAATGGGTCGATGGGAAATTTGAATCCCATCATCCAGTACTCCGTGTAGACGCCGAACCAGCCCGGGGGGCAGTTCCCAACCATGCTGCGCACAGAGGGTACGGCGTACTACCAGCTGGGGGGCAACCCTAACCCGCGCACAATCTCTTCTACGTCTTCGCGCCCGTAGATGGAGGCGTGGTCGGGCCCGCGGAGAAGGTTGTCATGCGGGGCTGGCTGGTCGCCCCACATTTCCGCCCAGTCCAAAACAGTGTAGACCGCGCCTACGCCCTGCAACCCTAGGCGGCTCATCGCCTCTGACACGCGAATATGATAAACGGGCTCTGATTGCGTGTCCGACCACTCGCGCGCCTCGGAAGTCGTCCCTCCAGATCTCCTGTCATGAGAACGCCTGATTATCGGGACTCCTCGGGAGCCTGCTTGCCCACTCCCCGACGCAACCATATCGGCATTAGAAGACTCTTGAAAGCCCCTCCCAGAATCGATGTCGAACGACGACGACGCCGAAACCCCCTCGTCGTCACTAGCCCCGCCGTCGTCTTTAACACCACCGTCGTCCCCGTTGCCGGAATCGGCCGGGTTCGACGAAGGTCTGGTAAAAGTAGGTGAGAAAGAAGAAAGATTACCTTCTTCGCCCTGCACGACCTCGGTCTCATTGATGTTGGTGCTATCCATGGCAATACTCCGATTAGCAACAGCAAATGGCAGTCTTGAGGTTGTAGAAGAAGAAAAAGAATCTCGGAGAACAGAGAAATAGAAAAGCTTGAGAGCAAAATGTGAGGAATGACAGATGAGGGGAAACCCCCGAGAGCAGCCATGTATTTATAGTTGCTGATGGGAAGTCGAGGGGTTAAAGTGTCATCGAGAGTCGCAACCGTCAGGGAATTTCGAAATTCAAAACGGCCGCCAAAACCGAGCAATCATACAGTGACACGTGGCAGACCCCGGTCCCAGGCAATCATAACAGTCTTAGGCACTAGCCGTTGACGTCACGAGTGACGCGCAACGCCTGGGGGGCATGGCATACCCGCAAAGGAGAAAATCCCACCCCCAAAAATCCTCAAAGAGAATCCCGCAGGGATCGCGCTCGCGCAGAGATCAAACGACCGCGCCTCACGACGATCAATCTTCAACCCGGAGTAGAGCGCGTAACGAACAGAAGAATCCCATGAAAGTCGCGCGACCGTAACGACTTCAAAGTGCGTGAGTCCTAGTCTACCGCGCGTAACAAGCTCGGAAAAACACTCCCCGCGAAACACATGGGTCCGATTCTACCGAGCGAAAATCTCAACAGGAGGTGTTCGAGAAACACCCCCTGTTGGGGGGCAATTGTTGGGCATATGACTCGGACCATCCCCGCGCCAAAGGAACATATCGGACCGCGCGCCGCAAGGGACACGGCCGAGCGCGACACCATCGATGGTGCGAAGACCTCGAGCGCGACAATGATAAAGCTACGCGCGCAAGAGAAGTGGCCAGGCGCTGACCGGACCAAAGAGCCGCAGAGAGTGTCATCACACTTCCCGAGGGAAGGTCACATCAAGGTCCTAGATACAGTCATAGGTAAGCCCCTGACATGTCCTAGGTAGAGGGATGGCCTAAATCCCTGACATGTCAGTGGTCATGTCATTGTACCATCATGTAATCCACCCACTCACCCACCATGTAGCCTATAAATATGGCATTTACTCCGGTGGGTGAGGGGATCGCATTTTAGTGATTCTATCTCTATAACGTCAACTTCTCTCTCTAAAACTCCAACTCTTTGGTTCTCATCTTTCTGAACGATTTTCCTCTCTTGTGTTCTTCTTGACCCACATTCTTCCCCGAACCTCACTCCTATACTCAGTTAGGTTCAAACATATACATTTTAAACACGTTCATAATTTCCCAAGGTTGTCTTTCTTTACCATTTTGAGAAGGTTGTAAAAGTTCATTAATGGGGAGAAGATGATATTGATTTATCCTTTTCTTTAAGTTATTCACTTTTGATTGCTTGATTGTCAAGGTTTTTAGATTGTCAACTTGATTAGGATGACAATCCGATTAAAACGTCATCTCCGATGTTACACTATTTTCCCCAAACTAAGTTTATAATCCTTCCGATTTCATTAGGTCATGTTCTTTTAGAAGAAAAAGTTGGTACAATGATCAAATTGGTTAAGATCACAATTTAGAACCATCTGAACTAGTACATCAATGATTCTCTCCACTCGAGGGAGAGTCGGGAGGGAGAGGAACAGTCACGTTTCTTATGCGAGAGGTTTTCCGGGGGAGAGGTCTTCTTCTTTGTTTTGCAGGTCACAGGATTCGGAGAATCTGAGCAGTCGATCCTCTTCGGTTAAGAGTTGGTGTTGCGTTCGTATGGGATCCAAGATTGTGTCAATTTGGAAGGTTAGGCTGAAGAGGGAGTCGGTGTATAAAATGCAGGTTGAAGAGGGGGAAAGAAGATGGAGTATCATGCTGTGCACTGAACAGATTTCGTGGCTTCAGGGAACTTTGCAAACGGCCGCCATGAGTGGGTGGACCTTTCCTCCGCGTTGCGTCTTGAGGAGGGGCAGGCGTACAATTCATGTGGGCAAAGCGACGAATCGGAGGGGAAGTTACTTGCATATTTCTGAGCTGTCTGATCACGGAAGGGTCTTCAAAATTATCATCCCACAGGCTGATGGCATGATCGGTTGGGGTCGCATCACCTGCCTTCTCCAGGATCTCTACGCAGCGGAACGGAGAAGCTCCGTTGTTGACGGTGGGGAGGACATTCCTACGCCAAAGCTCGTTCAGCCTGGAGTTTCCTTCTCGGATGCGGTTAAGTATGGCGGTTTTTACGGAGGGGGACGATGTACCATAATGAAGCAAGGTCAGGACAAGTTTGTCGAGGTTAGTAGAGAGGGTGTTGATGAAAGGCTCAATTTCCTGGGGAGATGTCTAGTTATCAGACCTATTTCCATCTCGGAGGTTTTCTCGAAGTGTCTTCTGAGTGATTTCAATAGGTGGGCACGTCGGGTCTGGGCCATTGATGACAACTTTGGTATCGAAGAATTGGAAGACGGGTGCTGGCTGCTTATCTGCCCTAGTGTGGCGGAAGCCCTGAGGATCCGGAAGCTTCAACATTCGCAGTTTCGGAGTTTCAGGTTCAAGATCTCCATGTGGAACCCGAACATTGGTAGAGATGCTGGGCACCCGGGGAAAGAGACTTGGTTGCTTGTATTCGGCATCCCTCTTCATCTCAAGAGTATGAACCTTTTCAAATCTATAGGAGACTTCTGTGGCAAGTTTATTGATATCGATTGGTCTTCCTGGTGCTCGTCGGTGATCAGAATTAGAACCCAGATTCTCGGACCGATTCCTTCGGAAGTTCCAGTTTGCTATGAAGACAAGGTTTACCCGGTAAGAATTGAGGTGCCGCCGGCGAGTATCCCGGCGGTCAAGTCTTCCGGTGATCTCCGTTTGAAGTGGTGGAAGGGGAAGAGTCGTCCCTTCGTTGCCTCAGCAGCCGGTAACAACCCCGAGGGACCGGATTGCTCTAGGGATTCGTTGGGGACAGCTGGTTACTCCCACGCGGTCGTTCCCTCGTCCATGCTGGGCTCTAGGGCAAGCACGTCGAAGCGGGTAATTAGTAAGTGGGTTCGTAAAGAGGGGCCCCTCCCATCCGTCTCCGTGGGCCTTTCGGCCTGTCCGTCCTTTTCAAGATCCATTACCCATCCTAAGCCTAGTCGGTTGCTGGATTTGGGCGCCCTCCTTAATCCCCTCTTCTCTGTTTGGCCCGCTTACTCAGCCTTCAGTATGCTGGTCTCCTTGGATATCTCGAGAACCCACCGATCTGCTGATGCCCTGGTGATAAACTGCCATTTTCTCCCCTCCTGTAACCCCCTTCTTTCCCTCAAACCTTCCAACCGTGTCTATTCACCCATCCCGATCCATGAAACACCCGCAAACCCTATCCCAACCTTTGTCCACTCTCTCAACCTTGCCCCAACCAGTTGTGACCGCTCCATCTTATTTGCCTTAGAAACAACCTCGGCCCCTTCATCTTTACCGCCCGTCTCACCTTGCACCACTAGCCCAGAATTTGTCCCCGATTCCCCCTCTCTTTCTCCCACCAGATGCTCAATCGCAGATGTAGCGATCCCCTCCCCTTCCAACCTGGAGTCTTGCCCTGATAGTGATACCTTGGATTCGGATCTTCCTTCGCCGTCGTGTGTTCCAGCTTCTCTTGACAGGGTTTGGGACTTATCTGCTTTCCCCTTCGATCTTGCCACTTTGGAAGACAGGAGCTTGGAGCTGAGCAGGCTGTTTCGATTGGAGCAAAATAGCGATGGTAGACAATTTGAATTGTTGATAAAGGAAACTGCCAAGAGTACGCATGAAAGGAAAATTAGAGTTCATAGAACAAAGCAGGAAATGGAAGCGCATCGGCTCGGCCCTAGCCCAGTAGTTCTAGAAGGTCCGAGGAGGAGCAAACTGAGGGGGAATGGTTGCGGAGGTACAGGGTCTGGGTCGAATGGGTACTAGTTCGCTAATCTGGAATGTTAGGGGGGTGTGTGATGTCCACAAAAGAAGTCGGATCAAAGGAATCATTGGCAGAAGAAAACCGAAGATCGTTGGTCTTGTTGAAACTAAATGGAATTCTTGTAACGACTCTTTGGTTAGAAGTATCAGTGGTCATTCTGGATGTGGCTGGGTTGCTAAAGATGCCGTGGATAATTCGGGGGGAATCGTGATTTATTGGGATAATCTTCATGTCTCAGCTATCTCTACTTTTGTGGGTTCTTACTTTCTTTCGGTGGGTTTTCAGGAGGTGTCCTCGGGTAATATATGGAATCTGATCGTGGTATATGGCCCCCAGAATCGTGCAGACAAAATCATTTTTCTTGATGATCTAATGGCGTTCTGCCATGAGCTGGCGGCCCCGTTTTGCATCGCAGGTGATTTTAATCTGGTTAGAGGGCATGAAGACTATTCTGGGGCTGCGAGAAACTCAGACCTTATGCAGGAGTTCAATGACTTCATCGATGAGCTCGCTATCCTCGAACTCCCTCTCGGTGGTAGCCGTTTCACGTGGAGTAATGGATGGATCAACGCCTCATTATCCCGCATTGACAGAGCGTTTGTATCGGCCAGTTTTGACAGCTTGTTTCCAGATTGCACCCTAGCTGCCCTGGAACGGGTAGAATCCGATCACAATCCCTTGCTGATCAAATGGGGTGATAATAGTCGGATTCGTAGACCGTGGAAGTTCGAAAACATGTGGACTGAAGATGTTAGATTTTACCAAGGGGTGGAGGACTGGTGCAGAATTACGGTTCATGGCAGAGGAAATGTGTTTCGTTGGTCTCGGAGGCTAGCGGTTTTGAAAGGAAATATTATTGATTGGAACCGTAATGTGTTCGGGAACATTAACACACGCATTGACAGTCTGCTCAGCAGTATCAAAAGGTGGGATGATGAGGAGGAAACCAGGGATCTTTCGGCTGAAGAGAAGGCTGATCGTATCAGTTTGAGACTCGATCTCAGCAATGTTTTATATATGCAGGAAATCTCGTGGAGGCAGAAGTCCAGAGAGCTATGGTTGAAGGTGGGGGAGAAGAATACTGGCTATTTTCACCGGATGGCGAACTACCGCCGCAAACTTAATCTCATCGATCGGATTCTCATTAATGGGGAGGCAGTGGAAGGCCGGGAGAATCTTGGGAATGCTATTGCCTCCTATTATGAAGCTGCTTTCAAAGAGCACACTTCTAGTAGACCTTTCCCAGAAGACTACTTTGCTTGGAGGATTGACGAGGCATTGGGGAGAGATCTAGTCCAACCTTTCACCGAGAAGGAGATCTGGCAAGCGATCAGCTCGAGTGATGGGACTAAGGCCCCGGGCCCGGATGGTTTCACACTCGAATTCTATAAAAGGTGCTGGATGTTCATTAAGAAGGAGATACAGGACGCGTTTAACGACTTCCACGAGTCAGGGTATTTGCCGAAGTCCATCACTCATTCATTTATTTGTCTTACTCCGAAAGTGGATGCCGTGGAGAGCATAAAGGACCTGCGACCAATCTGTCTCATGAGCAGCTTCAATAAAATTATTAGCAAAGTTTTGATGAACAGGATGAGGAATGCTCTACCAGGTATTGTCTCTCGCAACCAGCATGCTTCGGTAAGGGGTTGGCATATATCTGAGGCTACTCTTATTGCCAATGAACTTGTGGACAGCAGGCGGAAGAGCAGGAAACCGGGGCTGATGTTCAAACTTGATATCGAAAAGGCGTTTGACAATGTGAGCTGGTGTTGCTTGTTTAATGTGCTGTCTAGGTTGGGTTTTCCGAGACAGTGGCAGCAGTGGATCAAGGCCACCATGTGTTCTCATATGGCCTCTGTGATTGTGAATGGTGAGTCCCACGGTTTTTTTAAACCCGAGAAGGGGGTCAGGCAAGGAGACCCTTTATCCCCGGGCCTCTTTGTCTTGGTTATGGATATTCTGTCTTTCATGATCGGGAAGGTTAAGGAGTCAGGGGGTATTACTGGTTTCTCCATGGATGAGCACCAGGGTAGAGGCGAGGTCACTCACCTTCTTTTTGCTGACGACTCTCTCATCTTCTGCGAAGCCTCTGTTGACCAGGTTATCACTATCCTCGCTGTACTTGTGTGTTTCCAGGCTGTTACGGGGCTGAAGATTAACTTAGATAAGTCAGTAATGTTCACCGTTGGAGATGTTCACGAGCCCGGATATCTTGCTGGTATATTTGGATGTAAGTGGAGTAGTGACCCAACTAAATACTTGGGGCTGCCTCTGGGGGACAGACCGAATGGGGTTTCATTATGGAACCCTGTCATCAAGAAATACCAAGATCGGCTACAAGGTTGGAAAAACAAGCATCTCTCTCTAGGTGCAAGATTAGTCCTAAACTCCTCTACCTTGAACAGCATGCCGGTGTATCAATTTTCTTTGCTGAAGGCTCCAAAATCGGCGATTGAGAGACTTGAAAGGATCCAGAGGAGGTTCTTGTGGTGTGGCTCGGATGAGAAGAATAAATTTCATCTTGTGAGATGGGATTTGTGTAAGGCAGACAAGGATAAGGGTGGCATTGGAGCTTTTGATCTGGAGAGTTTCAATAATGCGCTCCTTGGCAAATGGATTTGGAGGTTCGCGGTAGAGAGGGAAAGCTGGTGGAGGCAGCTAATTGCAGTTAAGTATTCTGACGAGAGTTCGGAATGGAAAACGCGGAAATTGAGTTGTGGGTTTGGTAGCTCGGTGTGGGCGAACATCTCTCGTGCAGGTGAGGTCTTCTGGAAAGGGGCCTGCATTGAACCGGGCTCGGGGGCTCATGTTTCGTTTTGGCAGGATGTTTGGATTCCCGGTGAACGCCTTGCCGACTCTTTTCCTAGGATCGCTGCGGCTGCGGGCTCCCCGTTGGCTAAGATCTCCGATTTTGTGACTTCTAATGGTGAGAATGTTTTGTGTGATATTCCTTTAAACGTTAATCTTCGCGGGGGGGCTGAGAGGGAAAGGGTGAATCTTATTGAAACTGTGTTGGCTAACTTGCATAGAATCATGTGTAGTCCTTGTAGGGTGGTGTGGTCTCCGGACCCGAATCTTTCCTTTTCTGTGAAAACGCTTTACAGGTTCCAGGTGGAAAACAGGTTCCCGGGGGTGGCGAACTTTCCTTGCAGTGTTGTTTGGAGAGGCTTCATTCCCTCAAAAGTTTGCGGATTTCTTTGGCTCGTCTGGCATAAGAGAATCCTCACTCATGACAATCTGCAGAGACGTGGGGTCGCGCTGGCCAGCATGTGTGCCCTCTGTTGTTGCAGCGAGGAGAGTATAACCCATTTGTTTACGGGTTGTAGCTTCGTCAAGGAAGTTTGGAGGCTTGTGCTGCTCACGGAAACCAGTCTCAGGACCCCGGTGGGGGACATCGTCGACGTCATCAACAACTGGCCAGTGGGATCGATAGAGTGCATCGGCGGAGCCTTCTCTCAAAGTGTCCTTCACGCTGTCTGCTGGTCAGTTTGGAAAGAAAGGAATCAGAGGATCTTCAATCAGGAGGTCTGCCCGGCGCTAGTGGTCGCTGGGAAAATCATCAAGGCCTCGCTTGAGTGGATCGGGGCTACCGGCAAAGTTGACAAGCATAGGTGTGTTGAGTGGTTCAGAAGATGGTGTTCGGACAGGAGTGTGGCTCTTGCTCCTATTGTTGACGGCGGTACCTAGATGTGGAGTTATTCACTGCGTTGCCGCGCCATTGCTGATGTTTGGGGCTGGGTCTGCTGAACTCGTGATCGGAGTATGGAGGGTGGCTGGAGAGATCAGTTCGATCATTGTTGTTTGGTCTTCCTTTTTGCTTTGGTCTTGGTGACCTGTTGTTCTCTCCTTTCCCTTTGCTCGCTGCTACTGCTACATTTGTTATTTCCTTTGCGGGCTCTCCACTCCTTGTGGAGCTGCTGGCTTTTCATTTATTTCAATAAAGTTCATCACCTTATCAAAAAAAAAAAGATCACAATCGAGTGAGAAAAATAACCGGTTAGAAAGTTGTCCCAGAACATCTCCAAAGTCATACGACAACTTTCCAAACCAAGTTGCTAATATTTGAGAATTTATATATACTTGTTTGTTTTAGATCTTGAAGTTGTAAATATTCAGTCACATAGGTTACGTTGGCCTTGAATATTTATTCCCTTCACATCTTATTCTTACTTGTATGCTAAGTTCTCTTGCTTGTTAAGTTGCCATTCTTGGCTTTCTATTTACCACACTCTAGTTTGTCTTGCTTGCTTAACTTTCATTTTTCAACTAGTTCTTGCAAATTAAGTTCTCACCCTATTTAACTTGGGGGAAAATCTCAAAATACACATGTTTTAAAAAAAAATTCTAAAATACACACGTTTTATGAAAAATTCCCAATCTACACATGTTTGGGCATCACCGCGTTTGTCGGCCACGGTGAAGGCCTAACCTAAGACCGAAACTTCAAACTAACATAATTTTGTGCTCGGCAATTTCGATTCTAGCGAATTTTTTTTATTCGACATAACTTTTCAAGATCTTTCAATCTGCAATTGTTGTTCATCCCATAAATTGTCGTTTGCTACCCCGAACGAGCAAATTTTTATTTTCCCAAACTTTGGAAGACCATAACTTTGTGCTCCTCAATCTGAAATTCATAAAGTTTTTTTATATTGCGCATAACTTTTTAAGAGCTACAAATTTTACTAGGAAATAATTTTCAAAACAAGAAATATTTTTTGGTATATGGGATTTTGGGAATAACTTTGTCATTACTTTTAAAAAATACACATACATTCCATAATTATGGTTATGATCAAAGTTGTAGTCCTTAAAAAGTTATGGGAAATCAAAAAAAGTTTCATAACATTCGGATTGCTGAGCATAAAGTTATGGTCTTCCAAAGTTTGTTGAAATAAAAAAAATTGCTCGTCGAGGTAGCAAACGACATTTTTTGGGGATGAAGGACAAATGCAGATTGAAAGATCTTGAAAAGTAGCAAAAAGAAATCCCTACGTTC